GTGCTATTCGTTTCATCAAACTTATTATGGTATCAGAGCTAACCTCGGTCCTTGGTTAGTTTCTTTTGGTTTTTCGTTTTGTGCTCTGCCTAGGGTTGCGGCGGTAGCGTCCACTCATGGGTGATAAGACTGCCGACGATCGAAGCATGACCTCAGGTGGCGGGAGTGGTCCTCTCTCTACCACTGTCCTCGATGCTTCTTCTCCTCTTCATCTACATCCATCAGATCACCCCAATCTTATGTTCGTGAGCGAAGTCCTTACCGACGCGAACTATGCGGAATGGGCAGCCGAGATATCAAACTCATTGATCGCGAAGAATAAACTGGGCTTTGTCACTGGCGGCACGCCACGACCCAGCGATGGTCTCCAACTTGATGCGTGGGTTCGTTGTAATGCAGCTGTTGTCGGATGGCTGCGCACAGCAATGAGTAAGGATATCCGAAGCGGGCTTAGCTCTGGTCTCACTGCGAAGGAAATATGGGATGAACTCAAGGAGCGTTTCAGCACTGGGAATCTCCCGCGCCGCTATAAACTCCGTCGCGAAATCATGGCTTTACGTCAAGATAAGTCAACTGTTGCTGGCTTCTATGCCAAAATCAAGCGGCTGTGGGATGATTGGCTCACTCTTGATCCTCCCGCAAAGTGCACGTGTGGTAAGTGTGAATGTGACGTTGAACGTCGCACACGTGCGTCCCATGATGACATGCGCTTGCTGGATTTTCTCATCGGGCTTGATGAAAGCTTCTCTGTTGTTCGCACTCAACTTCTGTCTCTTAAACCTACGCCGAGTCTTGGCGAGGCATATCATATGGTTGCAAATGAAGAGCAGCAACGCAGCCTGTCAGAGTCCCGACCACGCATCGATGCTGCGGCATTTCAAGGCAAAGGTGAAGTCGCTGCTGGTTATGGAAAAGGTAACCCTGCCACAGGCAAGGGGGAGTATGTTCGAACTCCCGATGGCAGACCCTTCTGTGTTCACTGTCAAAAACCAGGTCACTTCAAGGAGACCTGCTATGAGCTGAATGGGTATCCTTCCAAGCAAGCTGGCAAGGGTGATCGTCCTCGTCGCCGACCTTCCAACAATGGGCAACAGCGGCGTTCTGATCCACAAGCAGCAGCCGTGGAGAGCGAAGTCGGCGCCATCCCTGGCCTCACTGCAGCGCAAGTCGCTCAACTTCGCGCTTTCCTTAATCCCGACTCAAAGCCCACGGCTGGAATGGCTGTCAATATGACAGGTAATATTTTTCCTACTACTAATACTTGGATTATCGATTCGGGCTGTAATGAGCATATTATTAATAATGATGCATTGTTTGTCGATGAGCCGGAATTGAGCTCCCAATTACAGGTCCGAATTCCCAATGGAAAGGGAGTTCCTGTCCATGGTATAGGAACAACAAAATTGTCTAATGACTTGGTTCTTCGTCGTGTCTTGCACGTTCCGGAATTTCAGTGCAATCTCTTGTCAGTCAGTCGGCTCACTGCGGATCATTCGGTTGCAGTCATATTCTTAAGCAATTTCTGTGTTATACAGGACTTGCACTCGAAGAGGATGATTGGGATGGGGACACATCTTGATGGTCTCTATCATTTACGAGTTTTTGATGGTAGTCATTCCGTGGCGTTGGCAGCAAGGAAGGCAATCGGTGGCTCAGAACTTTGGCATTCTAGGCTCGGACATCCATCTGGGGCGAAGATGCTGGCACTTCAGCCTTTTATTTCCAGTCCTTTACTTCTCAATAATGACCCGTGTGATTCTTGTTTACGGGCAAAGCAGACTAGACTTCCTTTCAGTCATAGTACGATCAACACTAAGGATTGTTTTGAGCTTATCCATATTGATATTTGGGGCGGCTATCATGAAGCATCATCTACCGGTGCTCACTATTTTCTCACGATTGTCGATGACTTCAGTAGAGCAGTCTGGTTTTTTTATTGAAACACAAGTCGGAAGTGGCAAAGTATCTGTTGGTCTTTTGTAATCAAGTTCGTACCCAGTACGATAAAGTTGTTCGTCGTATCCAAGCGGACAACGGCCGAGAATTCTCAACATCAGAATTGCGTGATTATTATGCGCAAGAGGGTATCATTTTGCAAACTTCTTGTCCCGACACACCTCAACAGAATGGTGTCGTAGAAAGAAAACATCGCCACCTGCTCGAAACTGCTCGCGCCCTGCGAGTGCATGCGGGTTTACCTCTTTCCTTCTGGGGAGAGTGTGTCTTGACAGCTGCATACTTAATCAATCGTATGCCTCTCGCTCCACTCAACAACAGGAGCCCATATCAAGTTCTTTTCGGTCGAGCTCCTAAGTATGATCATTTGCGGGTCCTTGGCTGTCTCGTGTATGCCAAAAACACACACAAGCACCTTGATAAATTTGCCGATCGAGGACGTCCTGGCGTGTTTGTTGGCTACCCAGCTACGCAACGAGGATATCGAGTGTTTGATCTTGAGACACACACCATCTATACCTCGCGCGACGTCAAGTTCATGGAAGCTGTCATGCCATACAAAAACAAGGATTTGCATGGTGGCCATGGGTCTTGCACGTTGCATGACCATGCAACTTCACCTTCTGTTGATATCTTTCCCACCAGGATAATTGATGATGATGCCCCATTATTGGCAACTCAGCCCACTACTCACGAGGACACCATCACTCCTCACGTCCCTGATCCCGGGACAAGTCCCTCTCCTTCCACTACTTCATCGAGCTCTCCCGCTCCCTCTCCTTCCGCCACGACATCAACGGCGGACAAGTCATCAGCCCCTGAACTTCGTCGAAGCGATCGCGCGCGGCATCCTCCAAAGCATCTCATGGACGTTTACGATGTTGAGCTTCCTGGCTCTTCTCAAGCCAATTCGGTTCTCTATCCCATGGCACACCACGTCAGTTATCATCGGCTCTCCGAGCCTCATCGTGCTTTTGTGGCTAGCATTACTCATCATCCTGAACCTCGGTACTATCACCAGGCAGTTCGTTACTTGCATTGGCGGTTAGCCATGCAAGCCGAGATCTCGGCCCTGGTTGCAAATGGTACCTGGGAACTTGTCTATCTACCTCCAGGTAAACGAGCTATTGACTGCAAATGGGTTTACAAAATCAAGTTCAATCCGGATGGTTCGATTGAACGCTACAAGGCTCGACTTGTGGCCAAGGGTTTCACTCAGGTCGAGGGCATCGACTATCATGACACGTATGCTCCGGTTGCGAAACTTGTCACGGTTCGTTGTCTTCTTGCCGTTGCTGTGACACGGGGCTGGTTTATTCACCAACTGGACGTTAATAATGCTTTTCTCCACGGTGACCTTCAGGAAGAGGTCTACATGAAGGTACCGCAAGGTTTTCGGCTTCCTGGGGATGAACGGGTTTGTCTTCTTCGCAAATCCATATACGGGTTGAAGCAAGCGTCGCGTAATTGGTATCAAAAATTCTCCGCAGCTCTCGTGGAGTTTGGTTTTCGGCAGAGTCATGCCGATCATTCTCTCTTTATTCATCGCACCACTCGGTCTTTTGTGGTAGCCCTCATCTACGTCGACGATGTCATCCTAGCTGGTGATGATCTTCCTTTCATTCAACAGGTCAAGAAGTTTCTCCATGATAAATTCACCATCAAAGATTTGGGTCCCCTGAAATATTTTCTGGGCATCGAAGTTGCACGTTCTCCTCGTGGTATCGTCATCAACCAGCGTAAGTATGTCTTGGATATACTTGCTGATTCCGGACTTCAGGCCACTCGGCCATGTTCTTCCCCCATCGAGCAGAATCATCAACTGGGCCGACACGAGTCTCCTCCTGTCGCTGATCCTAGTGCCTTTCGTCGCCTTGTTGGCCGTTTACTTTATCTCACTGTGACACGGCCTGACATCACTTACACAGTCAATCTTCTGAGTCAAGCTGTTCATGCTCCTACTCAGGCTCACTGGGACACAGCTCACCGTGTACTTCGGTACCTTAAGAATTCTCCTGGTCGTGGTCTATTCTTCCCTACACAGAGCTCCTTGATTCTCACTGGCTTCTGCGACGCCGATTGGGCGGGTTGCCCCACGACACGTCGTTCCACCACAGGTTTCTTCCTGCGTTTGGGCTCCGCTCCGGTCTCTTGGCGCACTAAGAAGCAGTCTGTTGTTGCGCGTTCCTCGGCTGAAGCAGAATATCGTGCTATGGCTAGCACAGTTAGCGAGATCATCTGGTTGCGCTGGCTTCTTTCTGATCTTGGAGCTACTCAGTCCGGCCCCACTCCTCTTTACTGCGATAGCCAAGCCGCTCTCCACATTGCAGCGAATCCGGTGTTCCATGAGCGTACTAAGCACGTGGAAATGGATTGTTATTTTGTTCGTGAGCGCGTTCAATCTCACGACATCTCTCCTCGTAAGATTGCCACTGCTGATCAGCCTGCAGATCTTTTCACGAAAGGGCTAGGCGTGGATCATTTTCATCATCTTTTGTCCAAGCTTGGCATGTTTGATCTCCATGCCTCCGCTTGAGGGGGAGTATTGCGGATCATTGGGCTGGGCCGAGTTGATCTCACGCTTGGACCTCGGCTGGTTTTCTCTAGGTTCCCTGTCATTCACTTATCTTGTAACCTAACTTCCTCGTAAACACTACTCAAGGGAATTAGGTTTTTGTCTTTCATATTTAAGGCCTGTTACATGTTGATGGCCGAACCAAGTATCAGAAAATCATATCAATAAAAGAACTGAGAGCTCATGCTCTTCGTGGAATAGTCTCGTTCACACCGAACGGGGAAACCACGTAAATCGGTCTCGTGTGTTTGTGCTATTCGTTTCATCAAACTTATTAATTATTGTCTCTGTTTCCGGCGAAGCGATTAAAACAGAGGAAAAAACAGAGAGACAGGTGGCGAGAAACGGAGACGAGTGATCACCCGCTAAATTGGGGGCTGTTCTGGAGGTTTCTGTTGCGCTGCTGGTGCGGGAAGCTGGTATTATATAAGGGAAAGGAAAGTGGGAGCTGTTGGGAAGGAAAGGTGCAGTGTCACATGCAATTCGCCGCTTTCCCCTGCCATTTTTTTAATATGTGAGTTTTCTTAAGCTTTTTTTCGCTACATTTTGTAGGTGGGTTTGTTTAGTTGTTTGATTGTTAGTGAGTAATCGTGAAAGAAGTCAAATGGGAATTGGGGAAAAAAATGGGTGAGGTAGGTGACAGAGTCTGTGCTGTGGCGGTCGGAGGGTTGTTTGGAGGCTTCCGATCAGTTTCTGTCGCCTCTGTTTTGCGTCTGTCAGTTTGCCGTTGCCAGCTGATTCCTGTACAGAGGCTTAGATCTGTCATCTCGCTAATCACCACTCAATATGCGCGTATCAATACCCTCCTCGGTGTTTTAGATTGGCTTCGATCCAAACCAAATCGAATCGAATAAACACATAGATGTGATATATGAATCACGCTGATTCAAATAATATCCCATTCGATTCAATCGTAATTTCAGAAGTTCTATTAAAAAACAGTAGAAGATGCATTCGAATCAAATTAGGTAGTTTTTTTTTTTTGCCAAACTTTGATCATCATTTTTTCCTTTACATTTGCTTCTAATCCATTCAAGATTCAATCCGATTCTTAAACAAATATATAGGCATCATGTCCAACATCACGAGAGACGCCAACGTAAGTTTTTCTAGTTATAATAACCGTCAACCTAACTATAATCTTACATGATTATTCAAGACATATGCGGCGTGGCTTGAGTCACAATAACAAATAGTATGGTCTAGAAGTAATGGAATTTGGATCGATGGGATTAGCGATTAGGATAGTGATGTGAGTCTCAAGGGTTAAAAATCACATGATAAGTTGGTCGTGTCAGTGTTCGTTACCACTAAAAACTTCCTTTAATCAGTTGTTTATGAGGTGTTTAAATAATGGGAATGTATGATCATAGATTCATAATTTTGCCATAATGGGATGTTCAATAATCTACTCCAGCTATGTGGCCAAATTTTGGAGCTTATAACTTGGTAGAACTCAATAATACTAAAAGTGTTTTGAGCCTATTTTGGAAGGTCTATAATTGAACTAGAATGATAGATGGAGGGCAAGTGCATGAATAGACAATATGATGATAAGGACAATTAGCATATGACAACAATCCCTATAGATCCATGTTTGTTTAATAGACTACCCCAATAGGATCCCTACAAGTTTAGGGACAGTGCGATCGATCAGCTGATCATTCATTCATTTGTTTAGGAGATAACAAAACAAACAAGAAGGATGAAATCATATCATGAAAGGCAAAGCCGTTTGGTCAATCGAGTTTGTAAAAACTATAGGAACTTATTGGAAATGGACGGCTACAAGTTTAGGAAGAGTGAGAGGGGAAGATTGACTTAACGTACTGTAATGGAGAAAGATCAAGTATATGATAGTATTAGGTTTACAGATGGATTTTAGTTTTAAGTGTATAATATGTAGCTAGCTGGATGTTAATCATGGAGCAATGAGCTTTATATACAGGGGAAGGCCAACTTGTGTTCTTTTTTTTCTCTCTTTCATTTTTCTGTTGCTTTTCAGTTCAGGGTGGATATAAACATTTATCGCGCGCATATGTCTGGGAGTACGTATCTCGATAAATTAGAATAAGTTGTTAATTTATGTAGTATTAGAGCGTTGAATCAACAGTTCATATATATTTGAATAAATTGTGTACGTGGTAGACGAATACAAATTATATTTAAACTTTGTAATCGATCAAATAAGCTTTATTTTTTAAGGTGGCTTCTATCGTACCTCGGGTAGAATTTAGGGTACGACATAACTTTAAGTAGAAAAAACGCTATCTAGACCTCGAATTAACCGATTTTTTGGGCATGATACTATACTCTAACCCTTGATGAGTGAACCCTAGGTCTTAGTTATTTAAACCATAGAGCCTAACCCCTAAGATTATACATGTAGTTTGTTGCATATATTTCGATGAATCATGACCGTTGATTTTCGTTTCTAATTAAATTGATCTTAGTGTGTGAGATAAGTTTAGGAACAGTACCAGATGCCAGACTCCGGTCAATTCAAGATCTAGATATCATTTTATTACTCAAGGTATGTCATACCTTTGATTTTACCCGAGGTACAATAGAACCACCCATTTTTTTAAAGAGGTACGAAAGGAGTTGATATAAGATCCATATTTGAATCTCTTTCAATAATACGAGTTATCAAGATTTTGGCACATGAAACTTTCTAATCTAAATTTTTATTTTTATCTGACAATGAATAATCAACCTATATGACTTTTCGATTACGTTCCTGTTGATACAATAAACCAGCCAATATTTGAATAAATATGTTATACATACTAAACAACCTACAAAGCAAATAACAAAGAAACAATCATGAAAAATAACATTACGATGAGATAGAAAGTAGGCAACCAAAGGGTAGAGAAAAATATCATGGATGGGCACCGTCACTTTGACATGTATATATTAGATGTTCATGAGAATGGGAGGAGTTCACATTTGATATTTTTTCAACCTTTTTTCTGGCCTGCCACCTTTATTTATGTAATAAGTTGCAAGTTTTCTACAACTCAAATAGGCAAAACAACCACCTTCCCATCCACCCTTCACCTTCCCATCTCACGAGAGAAATTATGGATGGAGCCAAAAGTAAAAAAAAAAAAAAAAAATTCCCATAATGTATATAGGAGTGACCAATTTGAAATGCAAATGTTATATGAAAAGTGTAAAGAGATTCGTCGCAAACACATCTATCAGTCGAAACATCATGTAAATTTAAGTTATAAATATTTCACATTAATTATTATTCCTACGATATTTGAATCATTCAGTTTACCTGCTTTGATCACATTGCACAACATTTTCAAGCAGCTCTTGTCAAGAACTAATTGATCTCAATAACTCGAGTTGTTGGGAGAGGTTCAATCGTGGATCATATACCACACACTAACACGCCCCCTCAAACGAAAGTCACTCACAAGGGCTTGAAGTTTGCACAGGTCCACATACCATGTGCTTAACAAATGGGGGTTACCAGGATTCGAACACGATACATCTCGGTCACATAAGGCTCTGATACCATGTCAATAACCAATTAATCCCAATAACTCGAGTTGTTGGGAGAGGTTCAATCGTGAATCATATACCACACACTAACGGCTGATCCATGCATTTCTAATTACCTCTAGTGATAGTTCTCATTAGAGGTGGCAATTTCAATCCAATCCACCAATCCAATCCATCAATCCATTAAAAATATCCACCTAATCCAATCCATTTAAATCCAATCCATTTGATCCAAATCCAATTGGATTGGTGGATTCATGGATTGGATCCATGGATCATTGGCAAATTACAGTTTAGTACCTATAATTTTTATTTTTTACATTTTGGTACCTAAAATTTTATTTTTTATACGAAAAATATCATTGGAAAATTACGTTTTGGTACCTAAAATTTTTCATTGTGACATTTTAGTACCTAAAGTTTTTACATTTTACATATTGGTCCTTGGTTGAGGATGTCATTTGGATTTATGGATAATCCACCAATCCACTTGATCCAATCCATGAATCCACCAATCCATTAGATCCAATCCATTTGATCCATGGATCCACCAATCCAATCCACCAATCCACCAATCCAATCCATTTGCCACCTCTAGTTCTCATAGTGACAAAAATGGAACTTCATTGAATCTCCATATGTATGTTTTGCATCTTTCAATGGGTATTGAGTATTCCCCATCTTGCATTGCATGCATATGTTGCTTTCGCCGCTTTACTTATTATTATTATTATTATTATTATTATTATTATTATTATTATTATTATTATTATTATTATTATTATGACTTATATGTCTTCAAGATCATGACCCAAATAATTAATATCTCACGGATCAAGTGCACATCTTCTCCACAAAATAAAATTGCTGCTGCATGTTGTTCTCATCAACAGCTGTTGTGAATTGTGATGTTTCTTCCTCTTCTTTAGGGATATTGCGGATGGAATTAGTGTGCTCGTGTGCATGCTCTATAGTCCCCCCAATGTGAGGCCACAACGATGGCATCTGGCACCCATACAAACCGTCCAAACCCAACACTTTATTAATATTGTCCACGATTGTCAAAGCGGGTAAAACCCAAGGGTTTTGGGTCGGGTGCTGGTTTTACCGTTTTTTAAATTGGTGGATTGGTTATGAATTTTGTTAAATTCCAACCCTCTTTCCACTCAAAGCGCAGCACTCGTAAAGCAAAATGACGTCATTTTGTATGTATATTTATTTTTTGTCCAGTACAAATATGTTTTCTAACAAGTGTGTTGCTCATTCTCCATACAAGTTATGGTAATGGCAAATATAAATACCACATATATGAAATATGATTTTTGTTCAATCGAATATACACTTATAACATGTAAATAAAATATGTAAGTTAAACTTTGCTAGACACATACCTCATTTGTCAACACAATTAATAAATTTTGAAACCCTCAATCCACTATCTACTCTTCTAACCCAATATGAGCCATTGATCAAGTGGGCCTTTCGCATAGACTATAGACCGTCAAATGTCATCGCGGAGAACCATCCTCCAAAAAGTATGCGGAGAACCTTACCAAAATTCAATAGGATGGGTCAGATTTCTCCAAACTCAAGCCAGCGTGTGCACCCATTGAAAACCTTGGTAAAAATACCTATTGAGTTTTAGGAGTGAAGATCCAACCCATCCAATGAGTACCTATAGATGCATGAACATAGTCTTATATTATTTCTTCTAACACCTACGTCGTAATGTAATCGAGATTTTTCCTATAAATATATCTCCATAAAGACTACTATCATCCATACATATGATTCATATGATTAGATTTATATTGTCAGATAGACTAATAACATTCATAAATGATTCATGTTGTTCCTATTATTCGGATTGAACAAAAAACATATTTCAAATGTGTAGGGATTGTCGCTTGAACCCGTCCCGTTAGGTACTACTCGTCCTGCACTAGTATGAGGCTGAACATGGGTATCTACTTCTAACTCGCCCTACCCCGCCCCGCCCCGTTCGTGACCCATTATATCACAATTTCTTATAATATATATTCATATTTTTTTATTTTGATTTTTCTTCAACTAATTAGACTCGATCTTTCAACTAATTAGACTCAATATCCATTCTATTATCACTAGTTATATTCATAAAGTGTTTTCCCTTCGTTTTATTGTAAAAGGTAAAATTTTATGTGTCATGTCTCGTATTATCCCCGACCCTCTTGGTGTGGGGCGAGTATTGAGAAACCCGTCCCCGCCCCCACTCGTTTGCCATCACTACATATGTGTGACATGTGTATTAGTCATTTCCACAACTTGTACTCAAAATAAGCATAACACATATTAGGAACATATTTGTATTATATAAAAAAAAAAAATTCGAATTAAACCAAAAAAAAAACTTCTTTCATATAATATGTGTATTCATAATTTTCACAACTTGTATTTTTCCAATTTTCACTATCTCCTCTCACTTATTTTTCATATCTTCCTAACAATGTCCGATGCACCATAACCTGGTTGCAACCCATTACCCTCGCTAGTGATTGCAGATCAGATCAGATCAGGTAGAAATTTACATCTCTAATTCCCAATACCCATGAACAACATCTCAGGAGAGGGTTTTCTTCCCCCCTTCTCTCATGCCATAATCAAGCATGTTTCTTACTTACATACTTCCACAGTTCCACTCATATATAAAGCGCAAATGCCTGTGAAACATACATAGATAAGTAATCAAATGTCCTGGGTCAGCATCAAACCATTTTTTTTTCTTCCAGATCGAAAGCTTCGATAACCTTGTTCGGTTCTCTCTTATTCTCCCCACTAAATGATAATAATAATAATATGGTGACAATATTCTTCTTATTAAAGAACAAGTAGCATGTTACTGTTACTTAGAGTCACATCCCGCCACTGTTGCTTGTTTTGCTTTTTCTGCATTTTTTCCACTTGTTCTTGACTGACGTTTGGCCTGGCATGTTCAGGCGGCCCCCGTCGCTTCAATCCTCTTCGATGGAGATGCCTGCGTTACTTTTCTCCCATTTTGCATTCGTTCCATTAGTTTTCCATTGGGCGGGACTGGATGAGACTGCTGTACTTTTTTGCCTCTTCCCGTCACTTCTCCTGACAACAAAGACTTTTCTCCCCCTTCTTTGTCTTACACTCTGTTTCCGAAAGAAGGGAGGAAAATAGAGGGGAAAGAAAATTTGGAGGGGAGAGAAATGGAGGGAAAGGAAAAGTGGAGGGGAGGGAAAATGTTGTTTTATGGAAGAAAATGAAGGGAAAGATGAGAGAGAAAAAGTATATTGGAAAGTGTGATAAATATGTTATTTTATTAATTATATAATAGTAAAATAATTTAATTATGTCTTCATATCTTTTTCATTACTTATGAATAATGAATTTAATCTATTCTTTCTTGTTAATTTGGTTCACTATTAAAAATTTTCAATTTAAAATCTCATTCATTTTAACTCAATTCAAAAATTTCCCATAAAATTTGCATTAATTCTGTTGTACAATATGACAATCATTTTATAAAATTTATGTGACCAAGTACCGGAACATATTATATTCAATTTGGTGTCATCGGGTCCAAACGTCGGTTTGGTCATATACGATCTTTTAGAACCACTCGTACTGTACGATTATATAATTTCATAATTATTGACATATTATTAAATTTATTATTAGTTAAAAACCAAAGTAAAATACTCGTACATATTTTATACGTAACTTACTCATACAACATTTTAATGATTATGATTTTAACCATGTTAATTTAATAATATATTATTATTATTGTTAGAAACACCCAAATGCCCAACCCATTCCCTCTTTCCCTTGCTTTCTCTCCAAAATGGAGGGGTGGGTGCAATAGTAAAACTTTCCCTCCAATTCCTTCCCCTTCCTCCTGTAGCAACCTTAAAAAACAGAGGAAAACTTCTTGGGACATGTGCTTTCCTCTCACTTTTTCCCTTTCCCTCCCTTTCCTCCCTAAAGAAACAGAGTGTTAGGCTCTAGGTTTGAGTTTTATTTGCTTTGTCTTTCTCTCACCTACAACAAGTTTCCACCTCCTCCCTCTTTGTCTCCTCCACACACGAAGAAGAAGGAGCAGAAGGTAATGGATCAATATGTGCTCTCCACCTGATTTTGGGGCTGTTCGTTTTTCCACGTTCCCACCCACACATCCACCTCCCAACTCTCTAAAGAAAAACAAAAAGGAGAAGAAGCAGAAGAAGAACGCGGAGAAGAAGAAGAGCGAGGACGAAAAATTGACGACCAACTTGGCTCGTGGTAAAGGGTCGTCCACGGACTAATTGGTTGGATCGTTAGTTTCTAATATCTGTTTGGTTTCGCTCGTTTGGTTCCTTTTAGGCTTTAGTTTTTACTTGGTTTCTCAATGGATTCACTGGCCAGAAACCAGGCTGTCGACGAACTTGGGGAGATTCACCGACGATCGGTTAGATGGTGAGGTTCACCCCTCCCCCTATGTCTTGATGAAGAAGAAGAATGCGATAACAAGAATCCGGCGGGGAAGAACCAGAGGAAGGAAGAAGAAGGAAGGGAGAAAAGGAAGGCACGGGACCGAATTTGGGAGAAGGTACGAGGTCGAATCTGGAAGTTGGTTACGAGTTTTTTTGGTTGATTTCATTCTATGGTTGGGCGACTTTAAAGGGTTCTGCTGTGCTCTGCGTTTTCACAGCTGCAGTTGCTCCGCCGTCGGTAGAAAGAAGGATCAATCGGAGAAGAAATAGAGGAAGGAGGAAAGAAGAGGAGAGTTTGTAGATTTGGAGAAAATGATAGGAAAGACACCGACTGGAAAAGAATCCATCCGAGAAGGAGAAAGGGAGAAAAAGAAGGTACATGGTAGAATCTGAAAGAGCTGCAAGTTTTTTCTTCTCCATTTGATTCAATGTTTTGGGAGATTTTAAGGATTGTGATATGTTTGTTTGCTTCTGTTGGAAGAAAGGGAGGAAGGATCTGCTGCCGGCAATCCGAGTTTTTCCGATGGTGACGACGATGCTGAGAGGTGGAACTTTGTTTTGGTCAGTTTTGAAATTTTCCCAAGGTTCTTTATATCTTTTCAATTTGGTTTGCTTTTTAATTTCTACTTCATGTCTCTTGCAGATTTCCATGGGAAGGCCCAACAGAATCTCTTTTGCTCAAACCATCTCCATCCATGACGATGTTCACCGGGTTAGTTCTCCACCTTTTCCTGAATGGTATTTGGTAATCTCAGCTCAATGGATTTGCTCAGCTTTGTACAGCTTAAACACACTGCAGGCCTAGGTTTCAGCGCGGGTGATTCAGCTAGCCGATGGACACAGCTACGCCATTGACAGGGGCATCTATCAACTGATGCAGGCTCGCTTTTGGCGCAGGTTTGTTGTTCTCCTCAAGTGTGTAGATGCGGATATTGTACTCCCATCTGAAGATGGATTCTTACGTCCCTGATGTCTGCTGTAGAGCACTTTTTGGCACAAACCATATGTTTTCTTCCTTCTCCAACGAAACCTCTTTTGCCCAAAGCATCACCAATCAATGACATTGTTTAATCTGGTTAGTTCTCCGCTTCTTTCCCTTCTTCCTTCTGCTCTTTTATTTTCGTTTCTGGGGTTCATTCATCCCAAAAATGGTGGAACTTGAGCTTTTCGTCCATCATCAGGCAAGCCATAGACTATTGATCAGGATTAAAATGAAAGTGGGATCACAGGAAGTTATTAGCATTGACACTATTTGCTCTAGGTAAAAGTGGATTAGAATCCACGTCTTACTGGAAAGGAAGCAATTTGGGAGGGAAGGAGGGGAAGGACAAGAATCGTTGGTAGACTTAGGATACTTGGAAATACCAGATAGGGAGAGATAAAGAGGGGTTCATTAAGTTCAATTATTTTGACTTGAGGGAGGGGTTCGGTTTAGTTGCAGTAGTTGCTTCTACTTTGTTTTCTTTTCATTCATGCTGATTTTAATGGGGGCTTTAGCTGTAATGGTGGTGTTGGACATCACGAAGACTTAATAGATGGGATTGATCGTAGATTTGAAGGTAGGGAGCCTTTCCGTTTGCCCAAGTGTTGATTCGGTGCTTGGGTACCTTCATGCTATATAGACGTCCTTTTGGTAGATTTTAGTGTTAGTCACTTCTCTAACACTTGCTTCGTGCTTTGGTATGTAAAATCATATAAAAATTTTCACTTCACAGGAGTTGATGATCTGCATCCAATGATTCAAGGCTCAAAAGTCTAGAACTTTGCATAGGGATTGATTGGAGTTTCAGAGAGATCTACAGGCAGATTTTGGGAGATCTGGAGAGGGTCCAGACAAGAGCCAGATTGCAGGTTGTGTTTAAGCATACCATAAGTTGATGAGAGTTCATTGGTTTACTATTCTCTTTCATATCTTTTAGAGGGAATCGGTGTGTGCTTTTCGAGTTTGTTCTCTGATTTTTGGTTGTCAATTGTAATTGGGAATTTAAAAGCATTTGTTGACCTTAACAGGAACGAGGGTACATGGATTGATCTATTTTACAGTGTCAATCGCCACCATCTCTCTGCTTCTTTATGTTTTCGGTTTGCTTTGTTTTGTTTATGACAAACTATGGTGGGTCAAGCGGGAGGCTATGCTGGCTGCAGTTAAAAGGTAATAACTTTCCCTTTCTTGTCTTCGGTATCTGTTTAGTCTTATTTCTCAACCCCAATTTCTCAATCTCTTGCTAGAGCTTTACTCTTTTGTTTATTCATGTTGTTTAAACATGGAACAAATTAGGTCGTATTAGAATTGTTTGCCTCCAAATGTACCTGTTGTTAACGCTTTTCATAATCAGATTGTTGGTCTTTTACATGTTTGTATTGATTTTACGTATTTGATGTCATTAACAATTCTGCCCAAACATCAATTGAAACCAACCACTGGGGGTATCATGAACCTCCTGGTTTCATCTATATGGTTCCTTGCTTTTTTGTTTTTAACTCTGATTCTACATTTCGTGATGTTCTTCGTTTCTGGGAAAGAGATCAAACAAAAATCCTTTAAAGGTTCACTTTACATTGCATTTGTCCTTAGTCAGAAAATACTTGATTACTTTACCGATATCACAGTCCATATATTGTCGCTCTCCTGATGGCTGTTGTTTGAGGCACCTTCTACCACTCACCAACAAACCAGCTATGCACACTTTACCTTCCTTCTGTCCATAAGGTTTGTTAAGGTGTTTTTTTTTTCTAAGCTCAACTTATTTTGCCTTTAGGTTGAGTTCTGCCACAAGATTCGCAAGTCACTCTGAACTATTAACTGTGAATGTCTTTTTTATGATTAAATGGTGTGATGGAGTCATGGTCATCCCAAATGTTGCTCCTTAGTACGGTTCTTTTACAATGTGTTGTGTCGTTAGTCATCGAGCTAGAGTTCTGACGTGTATCACCTGAATTTAGCATCACAGCTTGGCTTACTGGAAAACAAAGAATGAACACAAACCAAAAAAAACTGTATATTACATGCTTGGTTGAGTTCTTAATTCAATTATATTGACCATTTGTCTACTTCTGTTGGGTTCTACAACAGTTTCTAAAGGCACATCAGGGTCGTCAGTGATGTCCTTTCTCAAGAAGTGGCCATATATTTCCTGCTGCTCCAGCATGATGAAATTTAGAGCGCCATAACCTATTCTTCGACTCTTCCAGAGGCAGAGTTAAAATATGTTTTTATCATTGTTATTGTTATGTGAAAAGAGTAAGCATTGCTTCTGGAAGAGTGGCTCGAGATTCTGTTCTATCAACCTGTTAGGTGATTAAAAGTTGTGTTGTATTTTTAGGGGTTTGGTCTCTGAGATGCGTATCTTGGGTAATTGGAAATTGTTTGTTGAGTTGTGGCGGTTCACCGATCTCTCTGCTCTATCAAATCTTCTACATATTTCCTGACTCTTCCTGTGCTATTTAATATTCATGATTATTCTCTCACTGTACCTTCTCGCTTATGTTGGTGTTGTGCTTTGCAGCACTGGGGTTGAGATTGATTCGGGAGCTACAGTGTCAAGTTTGAAGTGATCAAGTGGCGGTGCCTAATTTGAGAGATCTGAAGAAAAGCAGGTCCTATGTTTGTTTCACAAAACTTCACTTAGGTACTTTTCCTTTAAGTTAGTTGTTGGCAAACTAGCAAAAACATTCTAATGAGAAAAACCATTAAGCTGCATTAATGGGTAACCAAAACTGAATGTCGCTGATGAATCAGCAGAATTGGCAGTTTTGGTTTCTTATGGTTCTCATTTAAGTTTTTTTAATTAAAGGCACCAAAATTCGGTGTCCTTGCATGTCGTGAGCAGAAACCAGTCCAGTCTGCGTCTATACTCGCGGGGTATGCCAAAACAAGGTCATTAGTATATCACTCATTCATGTTATGCTATTTTTTGCAGCTTAAAATTGATATCCGTCTCCAATTGTGCATTTGTGCTGCATTACAGCTAGGTCTTCAAACAATGCCACTGTAATAGGAGATGTACTTTTTCCTTTGAGAATAAGCAGTTTCAGATGCGGACCATGTTGTGTCGATGGTGGTTCGATTTTCATTAGTAAATCGATAGTCAAGGCCTCAAGGGGACTTCAAATTGCATGCAACAAAATCCTTTCCTGCAACTGGCTCTCTACATTGATCTGTAAGTTGTGTTCCTCATTTTTGTTGTTATGATAAGAATAAGAGCTCTGAATAGGCCCCAAACATTCTCATACGAATTCTGTATCTATCCGCACGGTTTAGAGAGGGGTTGATGGGGGAGAAGTCGAATAGAAAAGAGTACTATATAAATGTTAAAGATCAGAAAGAAGTACTCTATAATTGTCTAGCTATCAACGCGCATGTCTTGCTCACTTGCATCTCCACAGCCTCCCCCACAATTTTGGTTCTGATAGTGCGATTTGTACGTCAGATCACTTGCTTTCTCTTTAGCTCTTCTGGTTTTTGTTGGTTTTCTGGTGATCGGCAAAGGGATTGCAGATTTTCTGGGTTCCTTCTCGGACAATGCTGTTATTTCAGGGTTTTTCTGAACAGGATTATGACAGTCAAGCTACGGAACCCCATCCCTCATTTATTTAATACATACTTATTTAACAATCAAGGAACATAAATGAATGTCAAAGTGGCTTGAAGGTTTTGTATGATGTGAACGATAATATTGACTTTCAGCATATGTTCTTTCAATGCTTAATTTTGTTTTGCCCGCTTGAATTCAGAGAAGTTTGATTTACAGGTTAGGCTTCACAGCAACATCTTGAATTAACTTCATGGAACAAATTTGTATTTTTTGGTTCCCTTTATATTTCTTACAAGCTCTTGCTGCTTTTTGGTTTTGTTAACACTTCATGAGTTTGAGTGTATTAGTCTTATGGGGTAATGTTGATGTCTGACCAAATTATAGCGTCTTTGAAACATTGATTTAGATTGCATAATTGAAATAGTGTAGGTTTGCCAAGGGGCATGGCTATATATTGAATGACCTGATGGTTGTATAAATGGAGGGGAATTCTTGGATGGAAGCTACATGGTTTTTGTCTTGGTAGGGAAGGCAAAATTTGTTCATTGTTCTTAAATAAATCACTTTAGTTTGTTATTGAACAATGCCTTCAGCTTGTTCTCTTTCCCTTAATTTGAGGTTAGGATGATAAGCTCTATTGTGATTGTTTAAATTTTCTTATTTTCCTATGTACTCTCCAACTACATACCTCCTCCTTTCTCCTGGTCCATCCATTTTGGCCATGGATTCAGACCCCTTCTCCAGCCAGTACAATTTGTTGATCTTCTTTTCTAAACATGTTCAGAAAGAACCTCGAAAGCTGCAACCTAAGGATTCATTTCCGTCTGTCTTTTATCTGTTGTTGGAAATGTAGAGGGAATTATGTGTTCAATGCTTTTCTAGAGACAGGGAAATATGGAAGAAGAATCTTCCCGTTTGTATGGTGTCTTTTGGTGGTCTGGGACATAATATATGTTGTGTTTTGATCTAAATCTTACCATTCTTACCATTCTTAGCTTTCAACGTTTTAGTTCATCTCAGTTTGTTGCTTTTGTTCATGGATTTTGGGTTTTGATGGTTTTGTTCATCTTTGCTCATTCTCTACAGATCGGAGATAAGTGAGGCGAGGCATGATGGAAGAAGATGGAGCCAAATGAATATTTTTAAAAGCAGTGGTTTCCCTTTTGATTTTTGTTGGATTTGTTTTCATGGATTATCCTCCGTCGTCTTCAACTGGTTCATCATTTTTTCCATTCTGTTCCCATCGGGGTTCCTGGAGGAGAGACGTAATGGAAGACGGCGGAGGTAGCTGGCGGCAGAAGAAAGTCGGTCAAAATAAAAAGAGGTTCGTAGAATGCAGACTAGGCAAGTGCTGGTTTGGTGGAGGAGAAAGAAGGCAAGGCAAGGTCTTTCAACTTTTAAGCATTCTTTTTCAATCTGACTGTGTATGTCATAGAAACATGTTTGGTGACTTCATGTTCATGAATTTTCTACCTTTCCATCAAATCTGTTGGTTGCAGTTTATGCAGACGGAGAAGGCGAACAAGAAGTCAGGGGAAAAAAAAGAGAAGACGCAACAGAAATAGCCTGGGTTTTGTGCTTCTCTCCCTCTCTTAAAAGACCGCAGAAAAAAGGAAAGAACAAGAGTCGATCTGGGTTTTGTTCACCTCTTCCATATTTTTTATTTATCGTTTTTTCCCCAATTAATAGTCATTCCTGATTCAGATTGATTGCCTCTTTCCATTTCAAATGTATCCCTCTTTTGAAACTGAAAGAAGATGAAGAACGTCAAGCCTGGAAGTCACTCCAGGTGAGAAACCTCACCCATTGAAACATAGTCTTTATTGCTCTTCATCTCGCCATTTTCTTTTCACAATCATGATGCATCTTTTTACTTCGTTAGTCTCTGTTTCGTTGATTTCGGCGAGAGAACGAGAAATTACTAATTGATCATGTAGCTCGGATCATGTTTGCTTTGTTTGTTTCCAATCGACCGGATTATAGATAGAAATTGATTTTATAGTTTTTTACAAGACTCTTAAATCACACAGTATACATTCATGTAGTTTTGATTGGTTTTAGTTTGTTCCGTTTTGCAAATTTACATCTTCCCAAACGTTTCCCCCAATTGGAACCATACCTTTTCTTTCGTTATGTTGAATGCTTTGGACCTTTGACAATCTCATTTGTTTTGGTGTGTGTTTTATCTAATAAGACTCATGAGGTTTTATGTAATTCTGCTTTGATGGCCAGCATCTTGAGATTTTTTGTGACTATTTTTTAGTTTTAAGTTGGTTGGTAGGATGCTGCTGGTCTGAAGCCCTACGTTTTTCATTTTTTGCTCTTTTGTGATCTTTGGCTAAGTGGCTCCCTCTCAATTAGGAAGAAAGAAAAAAAAAACTAATTACAGTCACGAGGTTAATGTCATGAGCTCTATTAGAGTCACGAGGTTAATGTCACAAGTTGAAAGAAAAAGAATGAGCAGCGTCGCTGATTCTGGTATTCAGGTAGTTCTTTTCTGTTTTTAGTTTCTCATATTTGTAGTTAGTTCATATGCGATTGGATTACGTCTGTATACAAATTGACTTGGACCCGTGCTGATGTAGGTTACAATCTCAACTCCTTTATTTCTTATGCTCACGTCTGTTCATCTTTTCGATCACAAATAAAGTTAAATCTAGGAAGAAACATTATATGATTTCTTTCAATCGAATCGCGAAAGCATAGTTCATTTCTTTTCAAGAGCTGCATTCTATCATCTCCTTATGCTGTGATTGCAGGCCAGTTTTAGACTTTTGAGTTAATTGTGGGAACAATGTTGGTCTCCTTTATGTTAGATTGGTTCTGTTTTGGTCTTTGCTTGCTGTTCTTCTCTAATGACACGGTTAAGTAGAAATTCTTATCCTTCACCACATAAATCCAACAAATGTTGACTTTTTCAATTATAGTTCCTCTTCTTGCTTTCTGTGCTAGAGATTTGGTTATGTTTTGCCTCGATCATGGTATTTGTGGCCCTCTTAATTTATAATCCCATTTACAAGTTATGTGGAGTAAGAGCCTCATGTACCTAGATCAGGAACTAAAACGGAAACTCTAAAGGTTTTTCTTTTGTTTACTGTCAATGGTTACTAAAGCAGCAGTTGAAACTCTGCAATTCTGGAATGTCTTCCCATCCACGAGATAAAAAAAAACTCGATGATCAGGTTATGCTTTAATTGACCCTTATTCTTTCCGGTATTGATTTCAGCTATCTCTGTAAAACGTTACTCTGGTAATAATTCACGTCCTTTGCCACTTTGCACTTTTGTTCTTTACTTTTCAAGGGTCAATATTTCTGTCCTTGACTACAGTGGGATGCTTTTAATGTCAAAACACCGCACCTGCATGAGGTTGCTTAGAACTGGTATGAACCTGCAAACTACAGGCCTGAGCCCAGTCACTTTACTGGCACTGTATTTATGGTTTGCTTTTGGTCCAGAATTATTGTTTCACCCATTGATCATGGATAGTTGGAATTTTGTAGTTCGACAAAGAGGCATGACATCAAGTGATACGTATATGCTTAGTTTGATTGCCTCTTAAGTTAGTATACTGTATTTTTAGGATAGACCTTCTCATGTGAATCCCTTTTGTGCTTTGCTTTTGCCGCCATTCCCTCCTTGCTGTGCTGTTTGATTTCCTTTAGTCGTATGGAGCCTTGCTGATGATAATATGGAACAGCTTGGCAAAGTTTGTTTGCTTGACCATCATAATGATATTGAGTCATCCTGCAGGCTCTTGGATTTTAAGCTCGAGGCCATGGTACTATATGCAATCACTGTGATGGGAACTTTCGGGCGATGGGATTTTCCAGTTAATGTTCTTATGGCAGTTTTTTGGTTTTGAAGTGAAGGTCATTGTAGTAAACTCTTTTGGACTGATATTTTCTTCATAGTGTTACGTTTATCTATAGCCAGATATCGATACTTGCTGTTACAAAGGCAAGTATAAGTGCATGACAAGTTGACAACTAGCCACTTTATTGATCAGCATAAACCATCTCTGTGATCGAGACATCAGTCCAATCCCCATCATTGACTATGCAGTCAATGAGTGATTTATGAGAAATTGGTGGTCTAGCAAATTGGTAAAAATAAACAGTCGACTTCTCTATTGATGTCTGTAGGGACATCTCTATTCTGGAAGCTCAGACTTTCATTCTAGATAACTTGGTGATTATGCAACCAATCATCCATGTACCTTAGGAATAATAATTTGCGTCCCCTGTATGCATTGTCGGTATCGGCCATGTTGGTATTTCATTGTTTCTGGTATTCTAAAAAGATGTTGCCTTCTAATGTTTTAGTCCACATAGTCTTGCTTGCTCATTTTCAAGGTTTTGTTGTGCAGAATTTGCCTTCTTATGTATCTCCTGCTTTCCTTTCTTCATTTTGCTCCTCTTTTCATGAGTTTTATATGAGTTTGTTCCTGTTGTGGACCTTTACAGGCCTATGCAGTTTGTGACTTTTTTCATCTCTTTACACTCAAAGTGTGTTGTGCTCTACTCACTCTTCCAACAGAAAACGAACAAAGACGTGATTGTTTATATTAGATCAAATGTGTGGGAAAATGGTGTTTGGTGAGCGCTTAGTCAACTCTAGGTTTATATTCTATCCTAGGTTCCATGTGATGAAAATGGAAGACTGGAAATTGTATGTTCTGTCTTCCAATGAGATTCAAGGAATGATAATGGAAGGTTTCAAGTTGTATCATTTGACCTATATGTTTCATATTTTGGTCCTAAGGCTGCATTTTGTTCCTTTGTGCTAGACTAGATCGTGTGCTTTTTAGATTTATCTTTCATATCTCACGAAATGGTTTTTTCTTTGTTCTTTCCTGTTGCATTGTCATAATGTCGCTGATCCAATTGTTCGTTTATATCGTACTGCCGTTTCACTACTTCCTACCTATTGTTGCTTGGGGTTGTTCGTTCTTCCACTTTGTTCATACTACATTTTAATTTTATGCCTTCGGGTAAACCTCAGTTGTACAGGACTCTCCAATATGGTACCATGGGTTTTTAGGCTTTCAGATTCCTTTATAAACTGTTGTACAAAACTAAGTCGGACTTGAACACAAGGAACTTACATAGCATCTCAAGGACCATTTCTCTGTTTTCGTATTTAAATTCTCCATTGGTCTTGCCCCGCCGCGTAGCGCGGGCTTCCTTACTAGTATACTAAATAAATGATCCCTATGAACTTGCTCCAAACACACGAATCCTTTGCTCAATCGTGACGCGGCAGCAAGGACAAGTAGCCCTCCCACCCTTCTTCCCGTAGCCATCACTGCACCCAGAACACATAACCTGGTGAGCACATGGCAAGAACACCACGGAGACCTCGTCTTTCATGCAGATCATGCATTTTCGATCAGAGCTTCCTCCCCTTTGAGAAGAATCCTCCAGCTTCTCCAGCTCATGAAGCAGCTTGGCAATGGTTTGTTGTTCTCCCCGAGTGCTGATCTTCTCGGCAGGGGGCTTTCCTAAAGGTAGAGTGTCGTTGGGTTCCACGGAGGATGATTTCAGGCGCGAGAGTTCCTGCTCGAGTCGTTGGAGGTCGTCCTTGTGGCGCTGGATGTCGATCTCGATCTTGAGACGGAGAGCCTCGAGTTTCCTTTTGTTGTTGGCCTCTGCAGCTTCCTTGGAGCGTCTCTCCTCCTCCACCTCGGATAAAGCTTGCTCTTTCGCCTTAACTTCCTGACGCCACTTTACCTGTAGTAGAGCAAGATATAATTAGTACCGTAGACTGTTTTAAGTAAGGAAGAGCAGCACGAGGTAATCACTATTGTGCTTCACAAGCAATGTCTGCCCAGTACAGGGAAACCGTAGAAAGATGAGAGTCTGCAAATAAGGCTGATGACTTAGTGGCAAGAAACCATACACCACTGAACTTTCCTCCAGACAAGAAAAACGTTACTGTTGCATCTAAGAAGTAAGCCCTCACAACTAGTGAATCACAATGTTCTCAAAACCAGTCGATAAACAGCCACCATTCACAATTTCTGGATTTGAATCACAAGATATTAACCGGCTCTACTTGAACCTGCAAAATGTCCTGCATTTTCTGTAGGAGTTTTAACTGGGCAACTGGGCTTGGTAATACGACATGCCTCAACAAACGAAATAGTCTCCAGCATATCCACCCTTAAAAATCTAAAAGAAAGCCTCATAAATCAACCCCTCATTCACATCACATACCCGCCAGCTTCTACCTAGTTAAATTCATATCCTAGTTAAATTAGAGTAAATTCAGTATCTGATTTGTCACTTTTATCTAGACAAAAGTACACGCTTGTACAAAATGACCTTATATACACTCATATCACACAAGGTAGACAGTATTAACAAACCTCAGCATCTTTCTGTGCCTGTTCAACTAAACTCAGACTCCTCTGCAACTCCTTGATCTTCTCTCTCTCGTCAGCAATCTCATCCTGCAGCTTAGCTTTCTGCTTCTCCCAAGCCAGAAGTCTCTTCAAACACTTCTTCTCCCTCTTTGCAGCTTCCAAACACGTCGTAACAGACTCAGAAGCACTTAACTTAGAGGCTTCCATCTCGGCTCTTATCTCTG